CATTGGAGATTCCCACGGGAGAGGAGATTCCCAGCAGGAATTCCCAGCAGGAATTCCCAGTGCTCCCAGCAGGAATTCCCGGTGTTCCCGGCCGGAATTCCCGACGTTCCCGGCCGGAATTCCCGGGATTCCTCACGTGGTGGAAGAAGGTTGTCCGGATGTAATCCAGGTGTCCCAGGAGGGTGAAGAGGCAGCGCCGCAGTTTGTAATTCCAGACCTGGGAAAAACCGGGAAAAACCGGGAATAAACTTGGGAATAACTCAGGAAAAACCCAGGAATTACCCCAGGAATAAACTCGGGAATTATCCCAGGACTAAACCGGGAATAATCTGGGAATTACTCAGGAATAATCCCAGGAATAACCCAGAAATAACCCCAGAATTAAACTGGGAATAACCCTGGAATTATCCTGGAATAATCCAGGAAAAACCTGGGAGTAAACCCAGGAATCACCCGGGAATAAACCTGGAATAACCCCAGGAATAACCCTGGGAATAACCTGGGAATTACCCTGGAAAAACCTGGGAATAACCCCAGGAACCACCCGGGAATAACCTTGGGATAACCCTGGAAACAAACCTGGAATAATCCGGGAATAACCCCGGGAATTCCACTCTGGGAAAGGCACCAGGAACGCTCCATTCCCGCCTTTCCCCCGGGAATTCTTCCCGTTCATTCCCAGATTTCCCCTCCCTTTTCCCACTCCCCATCCCAGATTTCCCCCTCCCATCCCCCAATCCCCAATCCCAAAATCCATTCCCGCAAATCCCAGGAGGGGAAGGAGCTGGGGGCTCATCCCGGGGTTTTTTTTTCGGGAAAAGCTGGAAAATCGGGAATTCCTCACCTTGATTTTGTAGTCGTCGCCTCCGGAGACGAAGAGTGGCTGCTGCTTGTGGAAGTCGATGCCTCGGACGGGCCCTGGGCCGGGAAAAACCTCTGGAATTCCCTGGGAAATCCCAGGAAATCCCCAAATCCTGGAAAATCCCGGGAAATCCCGGGAAATCCCAGGAAATCCCGGGAAATCCCGGGCGGTTGCGGCGATTCCCGCTTTTTTTAACGGATTTTTCCCCCTCGTTTTTGCCGCTTTTTGTCCCTTCAAAGCTTCCAAAAAATCGGGAATCGCCGGAATTCCAAGCCTGGATCCGGGTTTTTATGGGATTGGGGAATTTCCCGGGCTCAGGGGAGTTCAGGGCATCCCAAAATCCAACCCAGATCCCGGGAATGTTCCTGGGAGCCTTTCCCAGATCCCAAAAATCCTCCCTGGGCAGGGGGGGAATTTTCCTGGAATCCATCCCAAAAACCCCGGGGATTTTTGGGCAGGAATTCCTATTTTTTGGTGGGAATTCCCTTTTTTTTTGCTGAGAATACCCGCTTTTCAGGCCGGAATTCCCACTTTTTGGGACAGAAATTTCCAGTTTCGGTCAGGAATTCCAAGTTTGGAGCTGGAATTCCCAGGTTTTTTGGCAGTAATTCCCATTTTTGCGCCAAAATTCCCATTTTTTTGGGCTGAAATTCCCATTCTTGGGCAGTAATTCCCTTTTTTGGGGCCATTATTCCCATTTTTGGCCCAGAAATTGCCATTTTTGGGCCGAAATTCCCATTTTTCCGGCCGAAATTCCCGTTTTTTGGGCCGAAATTCCCGTTTTTCCGTGGGAAATTCCCGTTTTTCCATGGAAATCACCATCGTGCTCGTCGAACTTGTCGATGAGGGTGCAGACGCGATAATCCCAGAGCTGGATGACGCCGTTGTGGAGGCTGCTCAGCACCCACGGCCGCTTGGGGTGGAAGGAAAGCCCTGGAAAAAACGGGAAAAAAACCTCGGGAATCAGCGGGAAAACGGGCTGGGAATGATGGGAGGGGGTAAAGGATGGGAATGTGGGAAGAGGATGGGAAGAGACCGGGAAAACCCTGGGAAAGGAGAGGGAAAAGGTGTGGAAAGCTCTGGGGAGAGGTGAAGAAAAGGCGGGAGAAGGACAGAGAAAATCCTGGGAAAAGCCAGGGAAAAGTCGGAAAAATGGGGGAAAAGCTGGGAAAAGCCAGGAAAAACTGGGAAAAGTGATGGAATCCCCTGGGAAAAGCTGGGAAAAGCCCGAGCCCAGCCCGAATCCCGGGAATTCCTCGGACACCTCCAGGGATGGGATCCAACCCTCCCTGAGCCCCTTCTGAGGCTTTTCCCCTTTTCCAGGAGGGATTTTCCCAAATTTCCCACCCTGAGCCTCCCCTGGCCCAGCTCGAGGCCGTTCCCTCTTGTCCTGTCCCTGTTCCCTGGGATCAGATCCCAAATCCCCCCTGGAAAATCCCAAAATCCCCCCCGGATCCCCCTCAGGATTCTCCATTCCCTTCTCCCACCCCTCCAGACCCTCCCTCCATGCGGGACCTTCCCCCTCCCCTCACAAATCCCCCCCCA